ATTAAAAAACAGAGGACCAAAGTGGGGACAATGAGTGACGATTATAAAGGTGGTACAAAATGTTCACATTAGTCCTTATTATTTCCATTTTAAAACCTTATGATCCCACCAAATTTAAAAATTTTAATTGTGGTTTAAAATTTTAGTTTCCTTGTATTTCAAACTTTGGTTTGAGAGAGAAAGAAAGAGTTGGTTGATTTCAATGATACAGAAAGAAAATTATTAATTGATACAAAATCCAATCATGAAAATGATTGATCTTGGTATTGATGAGTTTTATTTGATAAAAGGAGATATACCAAGGTGTTTTTTTGGTCTTCCATCACTTGGGAGGGTAGATATGAGTTCAAAAGGTGTTTTGAATTTAGGTTGATTATGAGTTTTTGACCAATTAAATGCTATTTTGGTACTGAAATTTGGTGTTGTTTAGGCTTTTATAGTGTTTTTTAGGTTTTTTGGTTGAAAAAATAGGTTAAAATAGGTTGTTTACTTATAGGAGTCAACTATCTAACTTTCCAGCCATCTATGATAGCTAAAATCTAGAAAACTAGATGATGCATCATCTATTTTTTAAATTGAAATGTCATATGACATGTCTTATACCCCTTACAAAAAATAGGCTCGCATGTGTGGGTCACCCTAAGCCTGCATGTCCAAGCCTTTTTTAAGCCTAAAACTTGTGTTAACTAAGTCCGTTCACCTAAGCTTTTTTTTGAATTAATTATCTTTTTCAATCTAATCCTTTTTTGTTGAATTTTTATTGATTTTTCTTGCTAATTCTTTTTGTCTAATTACATCGTTTAATATTATATTGATTTCTAATTGGACAACATAATTTGTTTCAATTTGATATTTATAGGTTTATCATGATCTAAAAAAACCTTGATATTTGGTTGGTTTTTGGTTTTGTGAGCATTTATTCTTGTTATCATATAATTAAATAACAAATTGTTGGACCTAATTGTGGCCATAACTTTGGTTATAGGGTTGACTAGTTAACTTAAACTAATTAGGAATTAAGTTTCATAATTTGTTTGGATTTATTTTTCATGAAGTTATCAAAGTCTCAAACAAACATTCTAATATTAAGTTAATACTTAAGTTTAAAAAAAATTGTTTTTTTATCATATGATTAAATAAATATATAATCTAAAAAATTAAACGCGGTGAGTCTATAATCTAGATTGTGGGTTTAATGAAATAAGTTTGAAACCCAAATTAGTCTAATAAATTATTATCTTAATATTTTTAATAAAATTATATCATATTTAAATTTATATTTAAATTCAAACCATATTTCAACTGTATATCTAACTTACTTTACTGTGAACTTCCAAGTCAAATTTATAATGTCGGGGCAACTCATAAATACATGCTAAGCAAAGAGATGGACTCAAAATTTATAAAATTTACCCATGAGCCCCCAAAAAAATCTCATAACCTAGATGTTTTTTGCTTTTTAAAAAAATAAAATTAGTACGTCCAAGGAGGAGCACATGTCACTGATCTAGTAAAACTTTGAAAGAGATGCATTAACCTCGTAACATCCATTTCTTTCCCCCTTATTCAGTGATCCATCGTGTTTTTTAAATGCAGACTTAATGATAAATCATCTCAATTTTTTATTTGTTTTCTTCGTAGCAACTGATATAATTATAATTTTTTTAAAATAATTTTCTACATTAAAATATATATTAATAAATTATTTTATTTTTAAAAAATTATTTTTAATACTAGTACATCAAAATAATTTAAAAACACTAAAAATATATTAATTTTAAATAAATAAATAAATTTTAAATTTTTTAAAAATATTTTAAAAATATAAAAACTAACACACTTAAAAATATTTTTAAAATATAAAAACTAACACACTTTTGGAATTTAAAAAGTGTGAAGGGAGCTCATTAAACGAGGCAAACTCATGGCCTCTTCTACGATGTACCCTGGGGAGGGGAGGAAAAAACTATAGCATTCTTAAAGTA